GAGTCTGAGATGGAGAATGAGATGCCCCACTCTCTGTCCAGGAAGTCTGTTCAACTGACACCCACGAGAGCCCAGTCTAAAGAGGTCAGAGGCCAAGGGGAAAATGAATACTCACCTGTGAGAGACTTGTCGGATTCCAGTGACCCCCCTGATTTGCACATGATTGACACTGACTCTGTTGCCCGAATTGATGTTCCTGACTTAGATGAGACAGGGTCTTCGGACGTCAATTCACCTGTTACACTGATTGATAGTCAGATACCCTCCCAAGTACAAGGGTTTGAAAGTCAGGTTGTCAGAACACGTACTGGCAGGGTTGTTAAGGCAGTCGATCGCTTGATAGAGAACATGGTGCAAAAACCACTCACCAAGGGTTTTGTTACAGGACTCAGAAGGTCACTGTCTTTCCGTTCTTTATTTTAGATACATTTTTGAGATTAAGATATTTTTCTTTATTACCAGTAGTATGACCTTGGTCATGAGATGTTCATATTGGAGGGAAAGTGTTCCAAGATTTCATATGGTGTATAAGGCATCATATTCACTAGAAGGGGCAGTAGCCTGATCAACTGCTGTTTTCTTTTAACTTACTTTGTAAGTAGCTTTATACGCTGTATATGGGAAATGGAGTCCCAGGGCTATCTTGGACCAAGTGGACAAGAGTTTTATTCTATATGTTTTTGGTTATTTTCCACCCTCGGCGTGCGAAGGATTTTGGTGAAATTAAAGAGGGGTGAATGTAACAGGTCAAAGAATTACAGATTTTTGCAACCGTTCATTTTCTATTTTTTATTTTATTTTGTGAGTTGATTTCACCAAAATATTGTATTGTTCAGCATTTCGTGTAGTTTACAGATATTGGGAGAGTTAGTTGTGTAAGTGCGCCCTCTAGAGTGTTGGTTTGGTTATATGCGGAGTTGTCTCATGATTTTCTCAGTCTGCATTCTACTCGACTGAGAGAGGTATGTGTTCACTTCGGCGTGACATAAACTTGATATACCTGTTAAAACTAAAACGTTTCAGTGCACATAGTAACTTGTATGTATATTATATGATGAGTGTACGTACATTTAATCAAGCTGTGTCGTGAATTTAGCTATTTTTGAGAGTTTGAGAAATTGCTAACTTAGCTAACCTCGTGTTTTGTTTAGCTGTAAGTTAGCAATCGTCATTCTATGCTCTTGTGTTGAAGCCCACGTTGTTCTTTTTATGTTAGGCGGATTCTGGTCGAGGGTAGAGTTTTGAACATTTTCTCTCCTTGATGTTGAACAGGTACAGTGGGGAAAAAAAGTGTTTAGTCAGCCACCAATTGTGCAAGTTCTCCCACTTAAAAAGATGAGAGAGGACTGTAATTTTCATCATAGGTACACGTCAACTATGACAGACAAAATGAGAAAAAATAATCCAGAAAATCACATTGTAGGATTTTTTATGAATTTATTGGCAAATGATGGTGGAAAATAAGTATTTGGTCAATAACAAAAGTTTCTCAATACTTTGTTATATACACTTTGTTGGCAATGACACAGATCAAACGTTTTCTGTAAGTCTTCACAAGGTTTTCACACACTGTTTCTGGTATTTTGGCCCATTCCTCCATGCAGATCTCCTCTAGAGCAGTGATGTTTTGAGGCTGTCGCTGGGCAACACGGACTTTCAACTCCCTCCAAAGACTTTCTATGGGGTTGAGATCTGGAGACTGGCTAGGCCACTCCAGGACCTTGAAATGCTTCTTACGAAGCCACTCCTTCGTTGCCCGGGCGGTGTGTTTGGGATCATTGTCATGCTGAAAGACCCAGCCACGTTTCATCTTCAATGCCCTTGCTGATGGAAGGAGGTTTTCACTCAAAATCTCACGATACATGGCCCCATTCATTCTTTCCTTTACACGGATCAGTTGTCCTGGTCCCTTTGCAGAAAAACAGCCCCAAAGTATGATGTTTCCAGCCCCATGCTTCACAGTAGGTATGGTGTTCTTTGGATGCAACTCAGCATTCTTTGTCCTCCAAACATGACAAGTTGAGTTTTTACCAAAAAGTTCTATTTTGGTTTCATCTGACCATATGACATTCTCCCAATCCTCTTCTGGATCATCCAAATGCACTTCAGACGGGCCTGGACATGTACTGGCTTAAGCAAGGGGACACGTCTTGCACTGCAGGATTTGAGTCCCTGGCGGCGTAGTGTGTTACTGATGGTAGGCTTTGTTACTTTGGTCACAGCTCTCTGCAGGTCATTCACTAGGTCCCCCCGTGTGGTTCTGGGATTTTTGCTCACCGTTCTTGTGATCATTTTGACCCCACGGGGTGAGATCTTGCGTGGAGCCCCAGATCGAGGGAGATTATCAGTGGTCTTGTATGTCTTCCATTTCCTAATAATTGCTCCCACAGTTGATTTCTTCAAACCAAGCTGCTTACCTATTGCAGATTCAGTCTTCCCAGCCTGGTGCAGGTCTACAATTTTGTTTCTGGTGTCCTTTGACAGCTCTTTGGTCTTGGCCATAGTGGAGTTTGGAGTGTGACTGTTTGAAGTTGTGGACAGGTGTCTTTTATACTGATAACAAGTTCAAACAGGTGCCATTAATACAGGTAACGAGTGGAGGACAGAGGAGCCTCTTAAAGAAGTTGTTACAGGTCTGTGAGAGCCAGAAATCTTGCTTGTTTGTAGGTGACCAAATACTTATTTTCCACCATCATTTGAAATAAATTCATTAAAAATCCTACAATGTGATTTTCTGGAAAAATTTTTCTCAATTTGTCTGTCATAGTTGACGTGTACCTATGATGAAAATTACAGGCCTCTCTCATCTTTTTAAGTGGGAGAACTTGCACAATTGGTGGCTGACTAAATACTTTTTTTCCCCACTGTATCAGGTTAAAAATATGTGTTCATTTAAAATGTTTTCATGTATTGATTAGTGTTTAATGGCACTGAAAAGCTCAAATGTGAAGGATTACATGTTGCTTCGTGCATATTACTGTATGTATTACCTATTTGAAAGATGGTTTATGTCATGTTGCACAGTATTAATGTAAAGGCTAAAAGCTCAGAGTTTTTGGCAGAGATAACATGCAATATGACACATACATAAGATATACACCAGATGCGATGTTTATTTTCCAATTATGTTGTATTTTATTCCTTGGATTTTTGAATGTGATTATACTGAGTCTGCATTCTACTCGACTGAGAGAGGCGGATTCTGGTCGAGGGTAGAGTTTTGAACATTTTCTCTCCTTGATGTTGAACAGATTGAGAGAGTTGTACACAATAAAGTGCCTTCAAGTACGCCAGTGTCTTGTCTTCAGTGCACCGGAACACAACGCAGTAGTCGGCAACAAGCAGACCGCGCCGGCTACATAGGCTTACCACAGTTTGACAATTCCCAACTGTAGCTGGCATGGTGTGGCATGTTGATGCTAGCATAGGTATATAATTGTTTTATAAATATGGATGCCAGTCTCTCATGAAGAACTCACACACCCATAATTCACCGGAAAGGAGATGAGCAGCGGTGTTGGAGAATGACGACCTACGACCTTAGTCCAAGTCCAGAATAAAGTGTACCTACAGTGCCTTCAGAAAGTATTCACACCCCTTTACTTTTTCCACATTTTGTTGTGTTACAGCCTGCATTTAAAATTGATTACATTTAGATTTTTTTGTCACTGCCATACACACAATACCCCATAATGTCAAAGTGTTTTTGAAATGTTTAAAAATGTATTAAAATTGAAAATATGAAATGTTTTGAGTCAATAAGTATTCAACCCCTTTGTTACAAAAATGTATGCACAAACTACTGTAAGTCAAGTCGCTCTGGCTAAGAGCTTCTGTTAAATTACTAAAATTAAAAAATTTAAACCACAAACACCAGGGAGGTTTTCCAAAGCCTCGCAAAGAAGGCCACCTATTGATAGATGGGTTAAAAAAAAAACAGACATTGAATATCCCTTTGAGCATGGTGAAGTTATTAATTACACTTTGTATGGTGTATCAATATACCCAGTCACTACAAAGATACAGGCATACTTCCAAACTCAGTTGATGAAAGAGGTTAAAGAAACTGCTCAGGGATTTCACCATGAGGCCAATGGTGACAAGAGTTTAATGGCTGTGATAGGAGAAAACTGAGGATGGATCAACTTTGTAGTTACTCCACAATAACTTAATTGACAGAGTGAAAAGAAGGAAGCCTGTACAGAATACAAATATTCCAAAACATGCATCCTGTTTGCAACAAGGCACTAAATACTGCAAAAACAAAGTTGCAAAGCAATTAACATTTTGTCCTGAATACAAAGTGTTATGTTTGGGTCAAATCCAATACAACACATTACTGAGTGCCACTCTCCATATTTTCAAACATAGTGGTGGCTGCATGTCATGGGTATGCTTGTAATTGTTAAGGACTGTGGAGTTTTTCAGGCTAAAAAATAAACAGAATGGAGCTAAGCACAGGAAAATCCTATAGTAAAACCTGGTTCAGTCTGCTTTCCACCAGACACTGCGAGATGTATTCACCTTTCACCAGGACAATAACCTAAAACACAAGGCCAATTCTACACTGGAGTTGCTTACCAAGAAGACAGTGAATGTTCCTGACTGGCAGAGTTACAGTTTGGACTTAAATCTACTTGAAAAGCTAGGGCTAGACTTGAAAATGGTATGTCTAGCACTGATCAACAACCAATTTGACAGAGCTTGAAGAATTCTGAAAACAATAATGGGCTAATGTTGCACCATCCAGGTGTGGAAAGCTCTTAGAGACTTACCCAGAAAGACTCACAGCTATAATCGCTGCCAAAGATGCTTCTACGAAGTATTGACTCAGGGGTGTGAATACTTATGTAAATGAGATATTTCAGTAAGATTTTGGTGGGGGCTGAGGTGAGAGGTCCCTGTATGACATGGAAGTGAGGGTGGAGCGTGACCTCAGGGGCTGGAAGTTGGTGTCCCCTCCGCTGATCGCCGTGCTCCTGTGTGGTCCAGCGTTCATGTTAGATGAGGCCTCTGGCAGTAGCAGCACTCCCTGCGGCAGGGGGGGAGCCCCTGGGTCTCCAGGCCTGGGCAGTGTGGAAGAGACCTGGGATGAAGACACAGCCAATGCTACCACCTCCCATGGATGACAACACCTCCTTCCCTTGGCTGGGGGCAGCGGGCAGGTTGAGGGAACTTAGGGTATCAGAGGTGGATGGGCTCCCCTCTCCGTGGTACGACATGGTGGATGCCAGGTTGGACTCATATGACAGTGTCCTGGAGAGGTCTTTATTGGCCCCGGATGTGTCCTGAGTTGGCAGGAAGCCCGAGGAGGAACTGGATGCCCCTGCTGTAGAGGGCCAATGGGAGATGGTCATGATAATGGTACTAAGACAGTGTTAGACCACTGAGCAAAGCCTATTAGCTCGGGGAGCTAACACACATCGTCAGGTCTCAGGCAAGATTACTTGTCACCCAAGTGTGGTTCACCGAACCCCCTCCATTAGATGTCGCCAAAAAAAGAATAGGAAACAACACTTGAACACACACACACACACACACAACGTACCTCTGAGAGCCTCTATCCTCTCGATCTTCACCTTCTGCACTTCATCAGTGATCTTGGTGATTATGAAGTTGAGCGTACGTCCTTGTTGGATGGACTCGACCAGGGCGTCCAGCCCCAGAGGGTGCTCAGCCAGGTAGTCCAGGAGCATGCCTGTTCTCTTGGTCTGCGTGCTCCTGCAGCTGATCTCCTCTGTGTCGTCCCGCGTCAGGATCTTACGCGAACGCAGGTAGTCAAACTGACGGTCAGCCCGGATCTTGTCACAGAGGTACGGCCGCAGCCTCGTTAGGACCTAGACAGAGAAGAGCAAGATGGAAACTGTGGGTGTGTTTTGTTGAAGGATGGGTTCTAGACCATCTGTATGTTATATAGGGCCATAATTAGTTGGTATGTGTTTTATCAAGTGTGTGTGACCAGGGCACTGACTACTGGTGGCTATACTATAACTGTACTGAAGGACAGGTAAACGTGTGGACAAAGAATGATTAGAGTAAGGACATGCCTTTGTTAATCATTAAGATTATGGGGTTAGGTATAATACACAAAGGAATAACTTTATTTACACTATACACACATATAGGCTACTGTGAAAATTACACTATACACACATATAGGCTACTGTGAAAATGGGGTAGCCAATAGAAGGTTCAGCATAAGTTGGTTACTTTCACTTCTTTATTATGCGCATTTCAACATTTAAAGATCCCATCTCTATAAGTTAATAACATTATGGTAAATAATTATTGTAAAACCGACTCCCTAACAGTTGAATTGACAGTCAGACAAATAAGCCACTTACTTCCTTTTTTATATCGGCCATGTCATCTTCTGTCAGGTGAGGAACATCCATCCTACCTATGGTGTCAAATTAAAGTCTTCCGGGTACTTCACGAGAATAAAAAGTCACACTAAAAATATTTAAACCAAAAGATAGGCTCCGGAACACGGATATTGTATTTTCCAGTGCGTAACTCGTCTAATATCCTATAGTCTAGTTATTTGCCGATACAAAACAGACGCTTCCAGAGCCTTGGTAAATATAAGTTCCTCATTAGTGAACCGCTGCCAATTATTACTTCCTGATTCCATGGATGAGTTTACGCAAGTCATGTATGGACAATTTAATGATGAGTGCTTTTCATTCAGTAGCGCTATACTAGTCGGCAACTATCGCATCACCACTGTTTATTCCATTGAGGGATAAACAGTATATTCCTGTGTTCAAATAATCTATTGTTATTCTCTGAATTCTACTTTTTTTTCCTTGACATGGTCAAATAACTGAAGCATAGCGTGGTAACTATTTTTCTAATTTGGCACACAGAAACTAGAACCTATGTTATGCTAGCCACAATAGAATTTGGGGAGAGCCGAGGCTACACAGACTCGCCTGCCCAAATTGTTGACGTATGTCGCACAGCTGAGAGTCGAGTGGAGACAAATGGGTTCAGTCAGTCGTCTTGATGAGCCCTTACCAGCTAGCTAGTTTATGCTGGCTAGCTATCAACAACAACAGCATGGCGTAGTTCACTTGTAAAAGAAAGTTATGTTTATGTCGATGGGCGAGGGAGAGATAACCAGTATTGGTCACCGTGACAGTCCAATTAGCTAACATAACGACAAACCGGTGTTAATAACCAATGTTATTGTGTTGTGTTGCAACCTGGTCTCAGTGCATTTTGTATTCTGTATGGAAATCGAGACAGGACATTTAGTTGATATGTTACGTTTCGTATGGTATATATGAATTTGTAGACATCACTCATTTCGTATGATATGTTACGAATGACAATTCGTATTATATGTTACGAATTTTCAAAATATACAATATCTTACGAATTTGCCAAACGTATGATATGTTACGAATTCTAACTAGATGGCTAACGTTAGCTAGCTTGCTAACGTTAGCTAGGCTAGGGGTTAAGGTTAGGAGTTAGGTTAAAGGATTGCGGTTAGGGTTAGCTAAAAGGGTTAACCTTTTCACACGTACCAACAAATGGGTGTGGTCATTCTACAGTGGTCCCTGCAGCGTACGCTCAAACCGGCAATGCGAGCGCCAGCCAGAAAATGTGCCAGTTCACGCAAGACTGCACAAATGTCTGCATACTTGATCTGCAGAAACACTGGGGAGTGCTTGGGCTCTCCTCCAAGAAAGAAGTTTGTCCGGCTCAGTAAAGCATCAAACATAAATTGCCCGGAACACTGAAATGGGCTACTTTTATGTGAATCAATGAGGAGGCGGAACACTCCTCAATTCAAACTGTTAGAAAATACAAATTGTAAGAAAATAATTTGAAATTGACTAGTTAAAACATAGCCAATAGATAATTAGCAGGCAGCGCTTGTTAACTGTCCTGTTGCGTAAGATTCACACTTTGGAACAGTGAGTGCACTCTGACATCACGTGCATAAAACAACTCATGCTGGGACGACCGTTAGAGAGATTTGGAACTGACGTGTGAAAGGGTTAAGGTTAGGGGAAGGGTTAGCTATCATACTAAGTAGTTGCAAAGTAGCTAAAAAGGAGTAAGTAGTTGAAAAGTTTCTAATTAGCTAAAATTGTCTGTGATGAGATTCGAACACGCAACCTTTGGGTTGCTAGACGTTCGCGTTATACGCCACCCCTACCAACCACCATCTTTTAGTTTTTGCCTTAAGTAACATTCTGTCTTATGTAACCATACCAAATGTAAAATATCATACTAATGAGTTTCCTGGAGTTATCTTTAATATATTACGTCTAGTGTATGAGACCAGGCTGGTGTATTGGGTTGCTCACCATCAGCCAGGCTAGATGTTTCTAGCCACAACCAGGAACTAGCTGGGGAAGGCAATTCCTGGCAATGTAAATAGTTTGTATTTATGCTTGTTTGCATGTGACTATTCCTCTTTTTTTTGTTGATATTTGTTTGTCTGTAATAATAAATAAAATACAAATAATTTAAAAAAGGAGAAGGAAAAAAATTATAAAAAAAGAGGTTGGGGAAGGCTCATTAGCAGGACTGACTGAACCGAATCCATTCGTCCCCACTCAACTCTCGCTGCGCATAGCGTCTACCTGGAATTTGCGGTTTGCCTTCAAAATAAAAGTCCCTAATTGAAAATGATGCAAATGGATACAAATAGTGGAATCATGCCATATTTGGACTAGATCATGCTAAACAAGGTTGGAATGTTGTTATATAAATTCAACAAAACACAATTATTAGTTATTTTGAAAATCAGTTTAAATCGCACTGTGGATGTTTTAGACTTCAGAATTGCATTCACTGTACAGCCTTACCTATGGATTGTGGATCAATGAAATACATGGAGTATCAGTCTACTCAGTGACACCTACAGAACACAACTGTGAAGAGTTTACACAAATATTAGCGTAGTAGTTCTTATTGCGGGACTTTGACTGTGGGAAATCACTTCCCCAGTCAGCTATTGTGCGTATTGACATTGATATTACTCCGTACAGCCTTACCTATGGATTGTGGATCAATGAAATGGGGTATCAGTCTACTCAATGACACCCACAGAACACAGCTGTGAAGAGATTACACATAAATTAGCATCATAGCTCATATTGCGGGACTCTGAAACCACTGTGAAATGGGCCACATTAAGCTTACCAGTCAATTTACTATGTGTATTGGACATTCACATTGCACAGTACAGCTTTACCTATGAATTGTGGATCAATGAAATCGGGTATCAGTCTTCTCAGTGACACCCACAGAACACAACGGTGAAGATTACACAAATATTAGATTCCACTATTTGTAGCCATTTGCATCACTTTTGATATGTGACTTTTAATTTTAAGACGAACAGCAAATTCCACTATTGTGGCTAATCTTTATTGTCGCTAGCTTCACATAGGTGAAACTAGAGGCCATGAGTAACTTGGTCAAAAAGAATGGCACCAATTGGCCTATAGGTGGCGCTGTTATAAGCGGTCTCACTTAAACCCTCATATCCACTGCCTCGTTTGAACTAGAGACTTGAAACTTTGTATGTAGGTGTCTTTCCTCATGCTGAACAAATTTGGCTCAAGAAGCCATAAGGTCTGTTAGGATAGATTTTCCTCCATCTTGGACATTTTTGAAAACCTTTGAAAAACGTCTTCTCATAAACCATTCCAAAAAACACCAATTCGGTATGTAGGCACATGGTACATCTCTTCAGGGGTGTAGGCATGGGTGGGCATAGGTGGACACAGGCCCACCCACTGGGGAGCCAGGCCCACCCAATCAGATTGAGCAAAAACAAAAAAATGATACATTATTATAAAAAAAATACTCAGTACATCAGTCTTTTAATGGTGTACTTATATATGCACGCATTCGAAATGTAATGAGTACTTTTGGGTGTCAGGGGAAATGTATGGAGTAAAAAGTACATTATTTTCTTTAGGAATGTAGTGAAGTAAAAGTAGTCAAAATATAAATAGTAATGTACAGATACCCCCAAAAACTACTTAAGTAGTACTTTAAAGTATTTTTACTTAAGTACTTTACACCACTGTGTAAACCTTATGTATATGTCCTTAGAAGCTGTGTGAATATAAAGTCACAGCAACCTTAGAAGGCTGCCCCAGACCAGTTGGTGGCATTATAGATATCATTGGCACCAGTGGCACCATAGGATACTGTAGGGCAGCCCACGAAGTGACTCTTCTTATTAACTGTATGCAAGAATTTCCTCTGTGTTGTCTAAGGAATTCAGAATTCTCTGAATTATCTCTCCAACCCCCATTGTGTCACCTCTGAGATGCAGAGGTTACATCATGTAGGTCTGATATCTGATTGGAGGTTAACTTTACAGTAATACTATTGATCAACAACTCAGATTTTGAATCCAAACAACTCAGATGCTTATAAAATGATCTTAGATTCATTGTTCTTTCTCTTTTTTGTTCCTGAACTGCTGTGGTGAGATAATCTCTCTCTGTTTCTTTCTTTCTCCACCCCATGGACTTTTGGGGCATGGCCTTTCAGGCTATGGTTTCTCTCTTTCTCTCTGATCATGCTTAGAATACTGCTTTGTTAATGTCGGTATTGCCATGTAACTTAAGCTTTATGCCTTGAATAGAAATCCATTCATTTTAGAAAGTAATTAAATAATGCTTGTATTTAAAATTCCATTCTCAGACATTTCTTGATTGCCTATTACTGTAACTCAATAGTGTTCTTGCATCTTGCTAAATCATCTTTATGGAGTCAGATGAACATTTTAATAGGCTAATTACTTAGTCTTATTATGAGTCGCATGTGAAGTATTTATAATATCATACAGTATATACAGTGGGGGAAAAAAGTATTTAGTCAGCCACCAATTGTGCAAGTTCTCCCACTTAAAAAGATGAGAGGCCTGTAATTTTCATCATAGGTACACGTCAACTATGACAGACAAAATTAGAAAAAAAATCCAGAAAATCACATTGTAGGATTTTTAATGAATTTATTTGCAAATTATGGTGGAAAATAAGTATTTGGTCAATAACAAAAGTTTCTCAATACTTTGTTATATACCCTTTGTTGGCAATGACACAGGTCAAACGTTTTCTGTAAGTCTTCACAAGGTTTTCACACACTGTTGCTGGTATTTTGGCCCATTCCTCCATGCAGATCTCCTCTAGAGCAGTGATGTTTTGTGGCTGTCGCTGGGCAACACAGACTTTCAACTCCCTCCAAAGATTTTCTATGGGGTTGAGATCTGGAGACTGGCTAGGCCACTCCAGGACCTTGAAATGCTTCTTACGAAGCCACTCCTTCATTGCCCGGGCGGTGTGTTTGGGATCATTGTCATGCTGAAAGACCCAGCCACGTTTCATCTTCAATGCCCTTGCTGATGGAAGGA